CGGTCTGTGCATACAGTAACAGATCGTACTCCGTGGATATGAGCCCGTCCTAGGGCGTGGGGGTTCCCCCCAGTATATGTATGTCACTAGTACCGGAATAATATGCGCTTGGGGTTCACCCAGTGTAGGGGGATCACCCCAGTATATGTATGTCACTAGGACAGGAATCAGATTCGCTTGGGGGTCACCCAGCGTAAGGGGGGGTCACCCCTGTACCACAATGTCACTTTGTCTGCCACGCTTGGAGCAAACTGAAAGTTAAGCAATAAATGATTAACTGATGAAAATTGCAATACCAGTAAAACAGTTTGGAGCAAAATACTCTGACCTGTGCCTTGGCTGGTAAGCAGCAAAGAAAGAGGGGGTCATGTGTCTGTCAGGGCTTTATATAAGGATGTGATGCCTGTTACTGATTGGTTTAAAGTTTATTAATGGACTTGTGCTGCTGGAGGCATAAAGTAAAGAAAGTTATGCAAAATATGAAGCCTCCTGTCATGTGAAAATTTACATACACAGAAACACACCTTGCATCCCTTACACATACACACCCAGAAACATACAATGCATCCCTTACACAAATTAGTATCCCTATACACTACATTCCATAAGACAACACACACACACACACTCCACTCCCTGTGAGAGAACTCATAGGTGGGCATTGTAGGCACTCACACTCAAGCCCTGGGGGCCCAGACCATGAGCTGTGTAAGGGGCCCCAAAAAAATGAAGCTGCTTCCTGTTCGTTAATTGTGAAAACGGTTACAAACAGCCTCCAGAGAGTGTGTTCTACACCAGACCTGTGGAGCCAGACTGCAGCCTGAGCCCATCATCATCCTCTTGTCCTGATCTGGTGGTAAGTAGGCAAGCCAGTATATTATTAGTGTCACTAATCTCTAATTTACCTCACATTAAGGGGCCACTATAGTCACCAGAGGCACTTAAGCTCAATGCAGTGGTTCTGGTGTCTATAGCCTGTGCCTGCAGGCTTTTTAATGTAAACACACTGCCTTTTCAGATAAGACACTTTGTGCAGAACTGGTGTTGGCCCATATGGCAGAGCATATGGGTGGGGCATTGTTATGTCTCATGATGGGCAGGATGTATGTGGGGGGCAGCAAAAATCCTCGCACTGGCCCTGATAGTTCTACTAACTCTTAAATAAATGAGTCTTCACATAGAGCTCCATTCAGTCTGCAAAATCTCACCACGGGTCCTAAGGATATTATCCAACTCAAAAGGAAAATTGTAACGACAATAGAGTTGAAGAAATAAATAATTTTAAAACATGAAAGCAGTGTCTGTGTCTCTGATCTAGCAACACAGTTTGGTATAGCCAAATCTACAATTTGTACCATATTAAAAAATAAAGACGAAATCAAAGGAGCCAATTTTGCTAGAGGGATGAAAGGGATTACAAAACAAAGAACCCATACACTAGAAGTAGAACAATTGTTATTGCTATAACAGTTAGCCGGTGATGGCATTTCAGAGGAAATAATTTGTGAAAATGCCATTTGCATGCTGATCTTGTGGAAAAACATCCCTGAAACGAGTGCTGATAGCGACGTTTTCAAGGCAAGTATAGTGGTTTGAAAATTTTCAAAGGAGAAGTGGCATACACAGTGTGGTGAGACATTGTGAAGCTTCCAGTGCTAACAAAGACGGGGCTGAGAAATTTGTTGAGGAATTCGTTCCCCGACAAGTTTAACTGTGATGAGACAGGCCTGTTTTGGAAGAAAATGCCAAAGAGGACCTACATAACAAAGGAGAAATCATTGCCAGGACACAAGCCAATGAAGGACAGGCTAATCCTGTTGTTCGGTGGGAATGCGAGTGGGGATTTTAAATTGAAGCCTTTGCTAATCTACCACTCCGAGAACCCGAGGTTATTTAAGAAAAACCATGTCCTGAAAAGCATATTGTGGAGGGCTTACAGCAAAGCTTGGGTAACCAGGCAATTTTTTGAGTGGGTTCATGAGATGTTTGGACCAAGTGTTAAAAAATACCTACAAGAAAAAAAAAAGGAAACCACTTACCTGTCAAGGCTCTGCTTCTTATGGATAACGCTCCTGCACAGGATTGGAGGACAAATTGATGGAGGAGTTCAGTTTTATTACTGTGAAGTTTTTGCCCCTCCCCCCCAATACAACTCCTCTTATCCAGCCCATGGACCAGCAAGTAATTTCAAACTATGTCTCACTTTAGACACATTAGGCAACAGCAAGTCTTGATAGACAAATTTTTAGTGCAGAAAAGGTCCAGTGAGCCTCAACCAGGTTTCAGTGGTGTGAAACGATCAAGGGAAAGAACGCCAGAACAGTTACCAATTGTAATTATGGAAGGCGAATTCCCATCCAAACAATGATAGCTCTTCTCCTTTCCACTTACACCATCAACTCTCATCATTACAGGTAAAGTGAAGTGACATTTTCATTTAAATTTACTGTACATTGTGGTTATTATTTAATTTCTATATTTTATGTATGTAAAGCATTATTAAACAGTAAAATTTGTGTTAAAATACTGTAATTTTGGGGGGGGGGGTGGAACGGATTAATCAAACTTACATTAATTCGTATGGGAAATGTCGACTCTGTTCTCAAACAAATCGGAACTCGAACAGCCTTCTGGAACAGATTAAGTTCGAGTTCCGAGGTTCCGCTGTAGTGTTGAGGTTACAGTTTTCCTACAACCCATCCTTCCCAGACCTACACAAATATGGCAAAGCAATGAAAGTTTAAGACTAGAAAATGATGCTTTATCACTGTTCCAGCATTGGTTTCCACCAGTCAGAGGCATTTTTCTCAGCCAGGAATCTGATGCTCTACTTCTACCACTCTATACTTAAACTTATAGGCTCACATGAATAGTGCAAGTAAAATCGCAATCATGGAGAGCTCTATGTACCCGCACCATTCTTTCGAAAACACATGCTACTGTTTTGCTAGGTAACTGTAGTCATCGTATGTGTGCTTTATGCTCTTATACAAGCATTATTTGGACATTCCCACTTTCTCAAACATTGACATCTTGATAACTGGGACACTGGTGGGAGTAGGGACCAGTGATGTGATCACACACCAGGGTGTCTACCAATCAAGCAGGCTAGTCCCCCCCAATGACAGGACATGCAGAGAGCACTGCTTCAATTCTCTCTGCAGATCCAAGTACCCAGAATGTTCCACTTGCGCTGCACTTTTTGGTGTCCGTTCCCTCGTGTCATTGCCATTGGGATGGCAGGACAGAACCTGAAAATCGTGACTGTCCTGCTGAAATTGAGCTATTTGGAAAGCTGCATTCACAAAAGTAAAACCAAGATCTCCAGGAATATCAGCTTTTGTCCAGCCATAAAACACATATCTTTGTTAAAGGGACACCAAGCACCAAAACAACTAACTTATAGATCCTGCCACTGCAGTCTCCCAACTCGATTCTCTGAGTTAAATCAATGTTTATATTGCCCTAGCCAAACCTCCCGTGCCTGTGACTTACACAGCCTCTGTACACACTTGCTGTAAAGAGAGACCTAATTTGTAAACTTATTTTATTGCACAGTATGTTGAATTCAGGATTTCTTATCTCCTGCTCTATAAATTGTGTTTTACAACCTACAGCAATATTGTGCGGGATTTGAGCTCAATTAACAAAGTAGGCAATAAGATCCCATTGTACAGCGCTACGGAATCTGATGGCACTATATAAATACTAAAATAAGAACATATGAATTAAAAATACAGTGTTGTAAGACTGGTTTGAAAAAGGTTTTTGGAGACTGTGTGAGTCCCAGCCAGGGCTTCATAAACAAAGTGATATAACTCCTGAATAGCAGAGAATTGAGCAGTGACACTACTGGGGCATAAAATGTACACCAAAACCGCTTCATTGCACAGTTGTTTTGGAGTTTAAGAATATCCCTTTCGCAGTAGATAAATGCCAGCCTATTCCGGAAAGCATCTAGCTATTATTGGAGACAATTACTGACAGAAGGAAAACAACCCTCTCAGATATACCCATTTAAAAATGTTAATTTAGTTTCAAAAAGGAAAACAAAATTCCTCACTGGCTTCACTTACAAAGATCACATCATTAACAAGGTCAGTTACTAATGCATGGCCCGGACAGAGATATTTAACACCCTCCTGAACAGATGTACTGCATCAACCACCAACTGCACACAGGGCAGATTAAAGTAAAAGAAAATCAACAAAACATTAATTACACTATAAAATTCTCTGTGTGGAGGGTGGAATAAAAATGCAAGAATCCTCGTGAAGATATCAGCTATATACATACACTTGTCCAGTTCATAAATAAGAGATGTTGGAGCTATATACAGCATCTATAGATGCTGTAAAATAATAAAACTGTTAATAAAGGTCTCAGTGCGGGTATGAAAAATATAGCAAGAGCGGTTCTTTGCGGTGGTCCAGAATTGTTTCAGACATATATGTAGTTGTTGGCTGTATATGCTAAGAGAAGCAGAAAATGTAAATCGGGAAACAAGTTTTATACACAAATACGGATCAACAGTCCAAGGCATTATGTATTTCAACGTTTTGGTTACTTGGTCCCTTAAACCGAACGCTCAAAAGTTCTGCTCTTTGCATAGAGTTTGATGCAAGGAGGTCCTCTTTCCCAGTCTCCCCACACACAGACATGGTTTTAAAATTCTCAAAAGTGCATTGAGTTATAAGCCTATTCTCTCACAGATATAAATTTGTGAACTTGAGTGCATGCTATTCAAGTTCCTGTCTCATCTACCCTATTTCTTCTTGGACACCCATAAAGAGGCTGAATGGCTCTGATGAATATAACTCACCTTGCCCAGCAGCAAAGACACCGTTGGAGGTTTTTTGTGAATTATGCCATGACACCAGACAGTGACAGAGCAGCTTTAAGGACTTGACTAAAACATTAGGAGTCTGTATCTAGACAATATCATACATTGTTCTGGGTCTCATTATGGACCATCTATAATTAAAAAGTGACAAGAGGTATATGGTGTTAGTAAAATCTTTTATTGCATTACATCATCATTTGTAAAACAAAAACCTTAAATTTAAAGATGTTAGATATGCTCTTACAACATTCCAGTTGTGCAGGTTCAAGCAAAAAAAATCTCTCAAAACAAGTTGGTTATAAATCACAATATATTTTGTTCATAGAATTCTAAGTCAGTCACTGGAACTGTATATAATAAAACATGTACATACATCTACAATAACCTGTATGTAATACATTTCCCTACACTCCAGTTGTGATGTGGGTGCTGGAAATATATTTTATATAATATATATATTTAAAAAGTAATGGTCGTAAAATAAAAAGGTACTCAATAGGATGGAGTGGACCAACCCTCAATTACTTTGTCAACAAAGGAGATCATGTTTGAAATAAGAAAAACCTACACATAACAAAATTCACCTCTTATTAGTAAACGTTTGTCTCAAAACCACAAAGTGCTAAAACTGGCTGGAAGTTCATAATGGTAGCAGCTCTCACAGAACAAGTCAAGACACCCTGTACAAGCAAATCAAGAAACACAGGAGTTGTATTGCACACTCTAGGCAAGAGATGTCTGAGGGAGGATCGTTTCACGTACATCATATCAGCAGGTGGAAGGATATCAATTCACTGCTAAGAAAAAATAAAAACAAACTAGAGGGAGACACATAAGATATATGCAAGGAGATCCCACTTTGTAAGAGGCATGTATGATTGTCAATGATGCTATCAGAGTCTCATTAATTTAGGTTACAGCTATGAACTTACAGAGAGAAAAAAAAAAACAAAAAACTATTTGCAAAACGAATATTGCGTTACCATAAATCTTGTGTACATAATTTTGTTTATAGTAAGTCATATCAGCAGATATTAAACATTATGAGGTGAAGTGTTTCCACCGGTTGGTAACAAGTAAATCAACAAGTTAACTATAGTGTACTTTTAGATGAAATCTGAAATGGTTTAATATTATGAGAAATACCAGAGAGGCCCACTAACTAATGCCAGCTGTCTTGGCAATGTCAAACAGAAAATCAAAAGCTTTGATCCATGTGAAAAAAAATAAAAATAAAAATAAATGCACAGATCCACAACCTCTGAGCTTGACCATTTCCCATAGACATTATGTTTTTAGAGAGGACTTTGAGGAATCTATTCAATTACTTCAGTTCTATGGCAATATTTTGAAAGACTTTTATTGAGCAACAAAGGAACTGAAAGATACTTCACGCACTGGGGACATTTTTGTGTTAAAAATATTATTTTTTACATCAGGGCTGTACTTCAAGTAATGGCTGTAGACAAGAGAGTTTTAGTGCAACAGCTTTAACGGTCACCCTTCTGTTAGCCTGCAGGCTTTATATCGGATCTAGACATATCCCACAGGGTTATTCATTAAATTGAGAATTCAAACTTTACAGTGAAAATAGCCAAAATGGAAAAACAAATCTCTAAGTCAGCTTTGCTTCAAGCTACTCTGCTTACATTTGAAATTCAGTTTAGTAAATAACCCTGCCAGTTTTGTAGTAAAAGAGTCAGTATAAAATGAATGATAACTGATTTACAGACTTCCTTAACTCCCGAGTGACTAACTTAGAACTGCCACACTTTGAAGGATAGGCTGCAAATGTGCAGGTTGTAGTAAAAC